ATTTTAATACAATTCCTGCAAGGGTAAAGTAGGCTCTAAGCCCTCATCTTGCCCAAGAATACAGGATAATTAATCCCCTCAACCTCTGGATTAGAAAATATTTTACGACTGCCTCATTATTGTTTAAGTATCGAGTGCTCATTAGGGGCATTACTGTCACTAAACCTAATTCTATTCTAACTCAGATCACGAAGACCCTGTCGACTCTTACAGCTATTACAGTTGTCAACCCAATGATAAATAAGAATCAGCTCTTTCAATTAACAAAAGGAGATAATCTTAACTGGGGTATGAGCCCATTAGCTTGCATAGCTTACTTTTGTATTAAGAGTATAAAGCCATTCTAACAAATCAGTTTTAATCAAGTCCTGCTTAGGGGAGTTTGTAAAATGTGATAAGGGGTGGAGGTGAAGTAATGGCGTATTGGTGTGGCCACTATGGGATGTTATGAGATTGGGTGGCCCTTGCATTCTGAATGTGCTGTATGCATTTTGAGTTTGAACCGAAAAGGGTAGTTTAATTCATCTTCTTCCCTGAAACAGAAGCGTGCTATTTACACTAAATAAACACTCAGCTCTTCGTAGCGCTCCAAAATAATACTTCGTTAGCTTCACCACTGCCACTAAACCTAAGAGCAAGTAGAGGATTAGACCTAAGATCAGGATTGAAAACTCTCACCCAAACAATTTAGTGACCCTCATTCAATTTAGAGAAGCAGTTTGATTGTAACAAGTAGGGATCAAGATGCCAATAGGCAGGGCTCAAGCTATAAAAGATAAGGGTAGTCTGAGGGTGTTGCCTAATAAATAAACTCTGATCTGACTGTGTTTTATGTGGTCTTAAGGAGTAACCCTCTGCTTTAAAGGGTGTATCAATTATGCATTTTCAGTGAGTGGTCAAAGTTGAATTCGTCGAAACTGCTTTCATCAGGCCTCATTTAGTTATTATTATTCCATTTGAGATTATTAATCCGAGTTGATTCGATATCAAAATTCGTTTGGAGGATTTATTCTGTCCGTAGAAGTCCGTTCAAGCCTCAAGATTCAACAAGGGTCAGCCCTAAATGGTGCTAGGGTTGGAAATACGATCAGATCTTGATGAGGGTTTGAAATCAGAATCAGAGTTGACATAATCATTATTCATTTTAAAAATTGTCGAGAATTCATTCAAGATTAAGATAATAGTGGAGGTGTTCTCATCAGATTAAAGGTTAACTCGAGTTTTGGTCAGAGCTGGAGACGTGATTCATTCTTGGGCGCTGCCTGAATTGGGGGTAAAGGTGGATGCTGTTCCGGGTCGACTCAATCAAGTAGGGGTTTGTCCTGGATGAAGAGGGGTAATGCTCGGGCAATGTTCTGAGATTTGTGGGGCTAACCATAGGTTCATGCCTGTTGTTGTTGAGTCGGTTCCATCAAAAGTTTGGTTGAGATTTTTGAAAATTTAAACCCTCGTTATTTTTTAAAAAGTGGAATCAATCGCAAAGTTGAAACTAATCTCACTTTTGCCACTTTAATTCAAATTGTCAAAATCTCGGGGGGCCGGTATTTTTTAAAAATTCATAAGGGGGGTCATCGTCGAAATTCTAAATCCTGTTTTGAGAATGGGTTCCAGATTTTGTCCAAGAATTATTTTATTGTAGCCTATGACATCTCCCAACCCTACATTAAACTTGAGGTCTTGGATCCGTAGAAGAGGACTGAGTTCAAGCGTTGGATCTCTGTGTCGCTGTCTGAAGGTGCGGGTCTACGATTTTGTGGGATGGACGTTAGGTGAAGTAGTGGAGGAGGCTTAAAACATGTACAACCTAGGGCTTATCAGTTGTTCAGCCAGGGGTTCAGTCTTGAGTGGGAGGGTCTATCGGACCACTGGGTGAAGTTTAGGGGTGTTATAGGGGCTAAGGCTATTGTTGAACTGACCCCACCAAAGTTTGGGTGAAGGTTTTGAAAATTTAAACCGTTGTTATTTTTTAACAAGTGGAATCAATCGCAAAGTTGAAACTAATCTCACTTTTGCCACTTTAATTCAAATTGTCAAAATCTCGGGGGGTGGGTATTTTTTAAAAATTCATAAGGGGGGTCATCGTCGATTTGTAAAAACCAGGGGGGTGCTCAACTCATCCCTTGAGATCTCCCACACTTTGAGTTGCGTTTTCTCAAAACCAACTGTTTTTCAAAAATCCAAAGTGGGGAGG